CATTGTGGCACAATGAAAAGTCTCAATGAATATAAACGGAGTGTTTGAATGAATAAAATGAAAATAGACAAAGCCAGATAGAACTATAGAAGACTCTGAAGGAAGGAGGAATAAATTGAGATTTCTGAGAGGGAGAGGGATAGGGATACACAGAGTTAGGGAGAGGGAAAAGGAGAGGGAGAGAGAGGGGGAGTTTTGAAGAGACTTTAGGAAAGGTTCAAATTATTGCTGAAGGGAACAAGAGAAAGAGCTGACCGAGACTAAATAAAATAAAAGGCTTTCCATGACATATAGTCAGAGAAAGAAATTGAGAAACACAGGCCGCTGTGATCTAGACGGTTACATTGTTTTAAAGTTTTGTTTGACATGGATGGTGAGCATCTTCATCATTATTATTATCATCATTGTCATCATCACATCATATCATTATTATAGATTTATGATAAAGATCATTGTTAGGAAAATGTGCTCGTTATTCTGAAGGCTGTGTGGGGAAAGAAGCCAGAAAGCATAGAAGACAACCTTTTTTTCTCTAATACTTTGTAAGAATGCTTGTCAAACATAAACTCTTGGAAGGCTTTCTTTTTCAAAGAAAACAAGACATGAGCTCTGTGTAATGTGGTTGTATGTGCTAAGCATGCACTCTGTCACTAAGCTACAACTCTACTCTATCTCCTTCTAAGAAATGTATATTCTAATAATTTTCTTGTTTTTGATAGGATTGCCTCTTCATTGTTGCACTGTATGAGTTATCTCTATATTTTGAATACTAGATGCTTCCAATATATAATAATTGCAAGTATTTTCTCCTATCCATTAGTCTGTCCACTTTAATTTTTTTAGAATTTTCTTTGAAAGACTTTATTTTTTTTCTATTGCTTATGCTTTTGAGTTGTATCTAAGAAACAGTTGCCTAATCCAAGGTCACCAACACTTACAATTTATTCTAAGAATTTTACAGTTTTTACAGTTATATTTAGCTCCTTGGTTTGAGTTAATATTGTTTATGATGTAGAGCAGGGATTCACATTCACTCTCTGTTATGTGGTTATGTGTTTGTCCAGCACCATAGGCGTGATCCTTCCCTTCATCTAATTATCTTCGTGTTTTTGTTGAAAACCATTTGATCATAAATAGTTTTCTGGACTTATTTCTGGACTCTCAATTCTATTGCCTTGGTCGATATATCTATTATTATGCCAATACTATTCAGACTTGACTATGGTAGTTTATAATTTGTTTTAAAATCTAGAAGTGTGATTCATTCAATTTGTTCATCTTTCATGAGATAATTTGGGGTCTCGTATTTCCATATGAATTTTAGGATAGAGCTGTTAACTAGACAGGTAGTTCAGCCCCTCAAGTTCTATAGACATAGAGGAACACACTATATTGTTTTAGGTTCTTGACAAAAGTTCCTGGGCAGTTGTTGGTTGATCCTCTACTTTCTTTGGTTTGTATATTAATACCAATTTTAAAATTCTATATAATTTCTCATACGAGGATAAGGAAAATGAATGTATGATTTTTTTTAAATGCATCTGCTCAACATTCAACATTCTAGAATTCTTTGTTGAAGATAGCACCCACATAAGCAATCTGGGAGATCCAGACTTACTTTGCAACAGTGAATGGACAGCTTCCTATTTTGCCTGTTTTACCAGAACTGAGAACAACACAGTAGGCAATGGGGTTGGCAGTGGTGCTAACAGTCACTTCAGTGTGTACTGTACACAAGAGAACAGCAAAATGAAGTGGAAAAATTCCTCGGTGAAGAATGTTCTCCCAGATGCAGTGAAAAGATCTGAACTCAAGAAGAGTGTAGAACAAGTCCACAGAAACACATCTAAAGGATAAAATGTGGTTAGTCTAGGAAAATTAACAATGGGCACAGACTGGGGCTGGAGAGATGGCTCAGCGGTTAAGAGCACTGGCTGCTTTTACAGAGGACCTGGGTTTGATTCCCAGCACCCACATGGAGGCTAACAACCATTTCTTTCTCCAGTTCCAGGGAATCCGACTCCCACTTCTGACCTTCACAGGCTTTGGAAGACACGGACGCACTAACACACTCCCAGACAATGTACACATACACACAAAATAAAAATAAGAAATAAAATATTTTTTAAATGGGCACAGGGAAATCAGAATTAATTTTGAGCTCAGAAGTTAACCTTTATTTTGACAATGTCACTTTACTGTTTATAATTTAAGAGAATGGAATGTGAAACTAGTGTGAGTCCAGGTTTGACTGACTGATTGATTTACAGAAACCTTTAGCTGTAAATTTCAGACTGTGTTAGATCCTGTTAAATATCCTCTAAACATGAAAAAAAAGTCAAAGGATTATTAGAGTCAGCCATTGTAATACAGGAATAGGCTTATGCAATAGAATATTTTGAAATACCAGCTAATGTGCTCCCCTCTCCTTCTTCTGCACAGCAGTGTACTCAGCAGATTCTGTTCAACAGTGTCACTCCCGTATTGCTCATGGTACTTAGCTGAAAACCTGCAAATCATCTATCCCCACACAGATAAACGCAGTATTTCCTTTGCTGAGAAATTAAAAGCTTTTCTGTCTTCCATTATTGATGATGTACCCCTAGAAGGATCCAGCGTGCTACTCACTAAACATCAAGAATTGTGACTGTCTACTCATCTAGATTTTGCCCAGCTTTCTTCCCAGGTATGGCATGTGGAAAACCCCTTTCAAGGCCCCATGGATCTATAATCTCCTCAAAATAGAAAGATAAATTCCCTTAGAAAGTCAGTTGTAGGAAAGAAAAGTCTGTGCATATAGTTGGCAGTAGTGAACAGAAACTAACTAGAGTTCTCTCCCACCCCCTCAGCCACAAGCATGGTGCAATCTACTGGTATGTACACAGCACGTACATAGTAACCCTAACATAATAATCTTCATGCCTTTAACGATGCTCCTACTGTCTTTATTGATTTTTAAAAATTTTTAGATTTTGTTATGGGTTATGGCGGCCTATAGACATAGCTTTGGGACAACCATTCTAGAAGCTTATGCATGGAAAAAAACTAAAGGAAAGGGGAAAAAATAAAACTAAAGATGGGAGAAAATATCTAATTGATAAATGGCACAACCCTTACCTTAGGTACTAGTTATCTTTTAAAGTGTTAAGTGTACAATAAAATATAGTAAGATAGTCCCAGAGAAACTCAATATTTATATCTTAGACTCTTAAAACTCAAGGAATCCTTTGCTGAGAGAGGGAGAAATCAGCTTTCTCCAAAGACAAGCACTATGAAGGTCATCTAATCCCAAGTGTCAGCTCTGAGCACCCGTACATGCAAGCAACACTAAATGGACTCAGTGGGCTGTGTGTGTGTGTGTGTGTGTGTGTGTGTGTGTAAGAATAAAGAAGAAATGTTCATGAATTCAAGAGGGAGCAGGGAACATGGGAGGAGATGGAGGCAGGAGAGGGAGGGGTGGAAATGGTGTAATACAATATTCATGTACGAAATTCTCAAAAAATTAAAAAAGCCATTTTGATAAAAATTCAAGAAACAGGTATTAAATCAATAAACTATTGAATAATTTCTCCACTCTTTGTAGTGATATGGTATTGCATATCATTTGTGAAGAGAAAGGAAAGAAACCTACTCATACATATAATGAAAATTTAATTTCTTACTGACAAAATCATTCAAGCTAGAATTTTTGTGCAAGGACAGGAGACATTTTCCAGAACTGAGTGCTGGAAGGTTTTTTTTTTTCTTTCTAGAAACAGGCAGGAGGTTAGTGGTGGGGGAGGAAATAGATTTATTGCTTAACTATATCTTCCAAAGAATCCAAAATAATGAAATTGTGTTCATGAACCCATGGCACTACTCTTAGAGGATCAATGCAATTCATGTTGGAGGCTGGCCTGCACAGGCCTAAGTGTGGGACTGTGAGGTTTAGAGGAGATGGGCCTCTCTGTGACTGCAGGCAGCGCAGTTTATCTGACTTCATACAATACTAGGAATGTTCATGCTCATGGCTCAGAACTAAAGTCAGCACCTTTCATAACAGAAATTAATATCACCTTTACATATAATCATTAAAATGTGACACATTAAATAAAATGTTAAGATTCACAGAAAATGATTTTAAAGTAACTTCTGTAAACATGTTCAAGAATGTACACTATAATCATAATTTAATATGATATGTAAATAGTTATATGATGTTAAGAATCATAAAAAATCTTGAGCTGAGAAATCCAATGTTAGAAGTGAAGAATTCACCGAATAAGCATAGGAAGTTTAACACAGATACGAAACACAGAAGGTATAATTAGAAATCCAAAAGTAATGTGACAACTTACCACTAACCATATTAATATGTATTAACAATACATATACAGCAACTAAAATTTAATAAAAAGACAGATTGTTACAACAGATGAACAAAACATACCTGTATGTTGACGATATTAAGTGCACTTTCAATGTGAAGGCACCTGTAAATTGAAAGTGGAAGGATGGGGAAAAATCCACTTACTTTGTATCAAGTAATCTTAGGAAGGCTGGAGCGACCTTATAAATACCAGACAAAGCAAACTGCAGGAAAGGAGGCTTTTCAGAGACAGTGAAGGACATTTCATAATGATGAAGGATCGAGTTATGAAAAAATCCTAAATATGCCCATTAATTGAGGTTTAATCACTTAAAACAAAACTGGAAATAGGTTTAACTTTAATCACAGTTAGAGATTTTAACATTGCTCAATAATTAACAGAAGAAGAAAAATATCAGTTAATATACAGATGACTTAATAGCATTATCATATAATTTTACCAACTCTAATGAGAACTATTTCTACTTCACTATTTAAACCCTACATAATGCTATAAATTATTGTAAGTATATTAAGGCAGAAATAAATAAAATAAATACAAGGAAGGACAATGTATAAATATCTTCATTTGAATATAAGAAAATAATCCTTTACATAGAAAAAAATTTAAATATATAAAATCATGGGGACTTGTGCATGCTATGAGTTCATATGAGTAACTGACCAGCTGTCTGGAAAACTGTTTTCTTGTGGTCATCCACCACCTTTGGCTTGTACAATCTTTCTGTTCCCTCTTCTGTGATGATCCCTGAGCCTAGGAGGCAGAGCTTTGATACAGGCGTCCTCTTCAAGGATAAGCACTCTGCAGCATCTTATTCTCTGCACATTGGCCAGTTATCTGTGTTAATCACCATCTGTTGCATGAGGACGCTTCTCTCCTGAGAGTTGAGAGATGTATTAATCTATGGGTAGAACAATAAATAATTAGAAGTCAGTCTAATAGGATATCTACTTACCAGAAAACTAGTATTAGGCCCTCCCTTATGGCCTGTGACCGGTCTAGCCTCAGATTCCTAGGCCTGATACCAGTGTCAGGTACTGGTGCCATGCTATGAAGCAGACCTTAAATCCAATTAGAGAGTGGCTGAGTTCTTCCATGTTCACTGGCTTCCTAAGTGTTTGCTTTCCCTCTGACAAAAGGGTTCCCTTCTAATTTGGGTGAAAAGGGTTCCCTTCCACTGCTAAAATATTATCCAGGCCTATAACTCACAGAGGCTTTGTGCTAGTTCTTAAAGGCAAGCACACATAAATAGGTTTATGGAGTTGAAGGAATAATAACATTCTTAGGTTCCTGGTACTTTGGCTTTCTGAGACTGTCATGCAGGGTTTTTCAATCTGTAAGGAGATGAGCCCAGTGCACTGCAAGGAAAGACTGTGAATATCTCAGGCTCCTTTTTACTGGGCAGTATAAAACTCAGCAACCAGATGTGGGGAAGTGGGGAAGAAACCCCAACCCGACCTGACGTACTACTGGAAGCAACAAGCTGCTAGGAGAAGGAGAATCAGTCTCTTTCACAGGTGTAATTTTTGGTAGGCTAACCAGGCTCCAGTTGCTGAAGGACATTTGGGGACACAAATTAGACTCTCTAGGCTGAACACTGAAAAAAAAATACAGAGAATGAAATATACATTCAGTCTGTACACTGAGATAAAGAGGCACAATCCAGATATTTATCAATCAAAAACTTGTAATCATAAAATACAAAGAAATGAATGTTAAAATGACAAAAACATAATAAAATAGACAAAAGATTATAAATATGCTTCACACACACAAAATTTAAACATAACAAACAAGCACATGAAAAGCTGTTCAAAGTCCACAGCAAACCTGAACAATGACTGAAAGCCAGGGAATTACCACTAATTGTCTATCAGTAGCTAAAAATTTTTAAAAAGAGTAATAACAAAGACTTAGAGTGACCAGAACATTCTTCTTCGTGGAAGTAAGGAATAATTAAATAATTTTAAAAACAAGTTGAGGTTTGCTAACATTAATATATTCATGCACTATGATTTAGTAGTATTACTCAAATATACTTGTCAAAGAAAAATGAAAATATCCTGGGTAAAAATCGATCTCTGAACAGTGGCTTAGAACAATCATGCTTTCTTACTGTAGTTCTATTACAGTGCTGTTGATCGGGGCTGACTGAGGAGGACTCAGCTGAATGACTCTTCTGCTTTGCATTGCTTTGTTATCATCATATAAACTGGACCTCACTAGAGCGTAGGAGATGGTTACTTACAGGGCTAATAATCAGGGCTGGCTTCAGCTGGAAGCTCAACTAGAGCTATCAGGTCTCCCTGTGTGGTCTCGCACATTGTCTGAGCTTCTTATGGGCATAGTAGGTGGGGTCCAAGACGAATTTTTCTAAAACACATACATACAAATTGAATTTTCCTAAAACACATAGATGTAAGTTGCAAATCTTCTCTCTCAGATTATACAGCAACATTCCTGAAAAATTATATTGGTCCAAATCAGTCACAGAGCCCATTCAGCTTCAAAGATTTGAAAAAATATGTGCCACATCTCACAGGGAAGACAGATGATGATTTTATACTGATGTTTTCTGCACCACAAAGATTTATGTGATAATTTTTTTAAAAATTATTTATTTAATAACCACATACTTAGAAGAAGCATTTCATGACATCAGCATTGACATATTCAATAACAATTTTCTAAGCTAGAAAGCATTTCTTACAAAATTGGCTGTACATTTTTAGGTTTACAGTAGAATTATTACAGTTATACAATGTTGTACTCAGTATAAACCCTATAAGACATGACATTAAATGAGGTTTTAACCTTTAAAAAGATCTCCATTTCATTATTAAAATACAGAGTTTCATGCAGAAAACATCTTTTTTAATGCAATTGACATTAAGATGTTTGTACATGTGTTTCTAATCTCTATATATCAGATTAACAAATTTTTATGTTTTGAAGAATTATATTTTTTAATCATTATACTTTAAAATTTTTTTAATAACTACATGATTAGAAGCTTTTCACTACAGCTTTAACATATTCAGTAACACACTCCAGAGCAACACTACATCGTGGGTGCAAGTTTCTAGGTTCACAGTTGAATTAATATATATTATTGAACTCAGTATAAGCCCTGTAAGACATAAAATTGGATGAATTTTTCTTCTAAAAGAAGACCTCCATTTCATTTTAGAATATATTGTTCCTTGCAGACAGACTCATTGTTTTTGCTACTAACACTGAGATGTTGGCATTTGCATCTCTAATCTGTATGTATCTGATTATTACTAGTCATAATCGGTTGCACTTGGATCCTCGGTGCCTGTGTATGTCTATAAAGTAATTGGGCAGATTTCAATGGTATTGTTTATCACCTCTACTAACTAGCATGATGTGAATGATGTAAAAATTTTATAGCCTCTTCATTTGTAATAGTCAAACAAAAATTGCATTTTAATTTCTTGAGTGTGTGTGTGTGCACACGCATGTGTGCGTGGAAGTCAGAGGACAACTTGGGGATTCGGTTTTCTCCTTCCAATATGTGGGTCCCAAGGACTGAATTCAGGTTTTCAGGTCTCAGGCACCTCATCCACTGAGCCATCTCGCCAGCCCAATAATTGCCAAATTTTTAACTCCACAGAGGAAATCATCCAAATGGATAGCCATAGATGAACGAATGAATAAATTTTGACACACCTGTATAACTGAATACTTCCCTAAATTATTCAGGGACTATTCAGTTAAGAAAAGAAATATAGTACTAAATTCACAATGACATGGATGCATTAAGTTGAATGAAAGAAGCTCACCATAAAAAAGAATGGTCAGTACTAAAGTGAAAAATAATGGTTTCCTCTGCAGAAGAGAATATTTTTGGAAAAGAACTCTGATGTTGCTGGGAGATGAACATGTTCTGTCTTGAGTAATTCTTTACATTTCTCAAAACTCATCACACTGTACCCTTAAGATATGTGCATTTCATTATGTAAGTTTTACCTTAGTTTAAATTATAACATACAAAAGACTTTTTAAAGGCCACTCTATTCCTCTCAGTAATTTTATAGGGAAGAGTACTAGTATTGGTGTTTTTATTTTAAAAAATGATAAATTTCTTGAGAGGATATAGAAAGTTTGTAGCCTAAGAAAGATTAGAATCTAGTAAGGCAGGAAAGAATTCATGGCTGAAGAAACATCTGTTTTCTACTCTAGAGTCTCAGCTACAGTAATGTTTCTTTTCTGTTTTATTTATTTTTATTTAATGTGTATGAGTGTATTGCCTGCATGTATGTAAGTGTACCCATGTTGTGAAATGCCCAGGGAGGACAGAAGAAGGTGTCAGATCCCCTGAACTGGAGTTACGGAGGGTTGTTAGCCATCATGTGGGTGCTTGGAATTGAACCTGGGTCCTTTCCAGTCCCTGAGTAATGATTTATTTTTAAATCATCACAGAAAGTTGACTATTTTTTAGTTATATTTTATTACAAAGATCTATTTTGTAGAGCTATAATAGAAAGGTACTAGCCTGATGTTCATTCTAGCACATTAATCTCTACTAGATTTCTCTTTTCTATGATGTATTCCCCTGTCATAGCATTTATTGGTCTGGTTGCAAATTAAATTAGACAAAAAATGAAAACTATCCCCAAGGAACAATGTGTTCCAAAGAAATGATTTACTAATAGTTTGATTTACTAATAGTGAAGTTTTTGAAAGCCAAATGACTCAAAGTAAAACATTCCATTAAAGCAAGTTGATCAATTTACTCTTTGGAGGACACCACACTCTAAAAGTCCCAGGTGCCTAGAAAGGGGCTCATAGTTTGACTTTAGCCAGAATTTCTAGGATTTTGTGACTTTAACGTTGGCATTGCAACATACTTAAAATTTCCCAATTCTTGGTTCTTGTAAAATGATATTTAAATGTGCATGAATAGTTATTCACTAGGAATTCATAAGCTGGTTTAACAAGAGACTAGTGGTAATGAATCATCCACACATGTTTAACTCCCATGCATCCATTGCCTGGAATGTTTATCAAATACCAGGTCTTTGCTATTTTTTTCAAGCAATGGTAAGGAAAGCAGACTTAAGTCAAGGAAGCATATAAATCATGCATATATAATGCATCTCATTCTGCCTGTTAGAGCAGCAATTATGAAATTTTAGTATGTAGTAAATGAGAGATATTCTGATCTATAAAGTGAGGTTATGAAGAGCTGAATGTTCTTCCAAAAAGGAAAAGAAAAACACGGGTGTGAGGGTAGTGGTGGTCAGATACTACCTTTGTTCTTAGCTAAAAGGCTGAGAAGTGATAGCAGCGATCACAAACAACCAGGAAACTTCCAGTACAGAGCAGAGTGTTACAAGTCTAACTTCCTTATAAAATTCATTTATAGTATTACATAAATGCTTCCTCAAAATTAGTTAACACTCATTTTACTTTATAAAATTATTTTATGTCTATGTGTAGGGGCCTGAATATATGTATGAGCACCAAGTGCATACAATTACCCTTGGATGCCAGAAGAGGATGTCAGATCCCCCAGAGCTAGAATTACAGGCAATTGTGAGCAGCCTTACATGGTGCTAGGAATTGAACTTGGGTCTTCTCCAAGAGAAGCAAGTGCTCTTAACAACTGAGTCATCTCACCAGCTCTTAAAAGTAGTTGAAATAGCTATCACTAAAGAGATTTGCTTCCTATTTGTATTTTTTGTTTAGTCTAGACCAGATTTCTGAAGAAAGCAATACATTCTATTTTGAGAAGCCTGAGGCTTTTAAAAACATTTGAAACTTTAATCCTCATCTTTTTTCCTTATAATCGTCTGTTATTGTCCATCAAAAAGATATAATCTTGGACAACTGCACAAAGGATACAGCACACTAGTGACCCCAACCACCCAGAAGTTGTTGCATGGCTCTGCCCAGCTACAGTCAATGGGAGCCCAGTCAAGGTTCACTGATTTACACCTTTCTCAAGTAGATTTCATCTGAAATGGGAAGCAAGGGGAAAAATGAAGGATAATGGACCAAAAGAAAAAGAAAGATCACATTCTTGACCATAGTGGTGGAGGAATTTTGAAGCCAATTTATTCCCTAAATGGTAATGCCTCTTTACTGGGTGGCCAAGCCCAATATGGAGGGAACGGACTGACTGACATTACAGAGTTAACCCAAGAGCTGCTGTCTTTTCCCTCTCTGTATATGGAGAAATGACTCTTCCACAACCTCTTATTTTCTTCTTTATGCTGACATGTCAACCTCCTTAATTACTATACCTATACCATTTCTTAAACATAATATAGTCATGAACATAAAGGAAAATAGAAATTTAGAAAACTATTTGAAAAGCTATTATATCCTCAGCCAAATAATTAAGGGTCATTCTGATCTATTGGGAGAAATCGTTTTAGGGTAGCACCGCCAGACTATTAACCTTGAGCACAATGCTAGAACAGCTGGGCATGGTGGCACACGCCTTTAATCCCAGCACTCAGGAGGCAGAGGCAGGCGGATCTCTGTGAGTTCAAGGCCAGCCTGGTCTACATAGTGAGTTCCAGGACAGCTGGGGCTACAGGGAGACCCTGTCTCAAAAAAAAGAACAAAGATTAATTAGATTTTTCCCTTTCTTGTTGATCTCCAACAATCTCAAGGTCACAGAAAATATGTAATTTGGTCCATATTTTAGTTGTATAATTTTCTTTATTTCAATAATAAATCTCTTTCTGGGCTCTGAATAGTTTGGGTTGAATAGCATAGATTCCAAAGAACGAAAATATCATTTGAATTTTCTTTAGGAATAAGCAAGAAATAATTTCCAAAATGGCAGTAAGCAATCAAAAATAGTAGAGTTCTAAAAATAGAGTGGTTGAGGACATGTAACTGTTCTATACTTTTTCCTTAACTTTAATGCCTATGGTTTAGGAACAGAACACTGTAAAATAAAAAACAACTTTCAGTACATATCATCAAATGTTCAGAGACCACACTCTTACTGAACTTGGAATTTACTGCAGGTTATTGAAGAAATATAGAACACTAACCTTGATTTCAGAATATGCAGCGGACTTGAAGAAGGCAATGGAAAAATTAATGAAAGATTATAAAGTCTCATTCATGAATCAGTATTGTTGAGTGAGTATATTAGGAGTTCAAAGACAAAGGTGAAAGAACATACTTCAAATGGCTTTGCCAGAAAATGCCTTCTCAGAGCACAAAGGACTTTTGATTTGTCTTAGAGTAAAGGGAAGCTCCATGTTGGACTACTTGGAAGTCAAAGTCCCTTCCAAAAGGACCTGTGATGTTATTGTGGCCCCCAAACATAGGCACAAATAGTTTTAAATATGATGTTGGGCAACACAATAAAGTGGTTAACCAGATTGTGGAGAGCCCCTGGGGATGCTTGCCCAAGACTATGAAGAAATTGGTTTAGAACCTGGAAACCATTAAAAAGTTCTGGTGACAGATTCTCTGGGGGCCCAACTTCCAATCCTGGAGTTTCTACTTAATTCTTTTTCTGGGCTTACTTTTCATAGCTGATTAAGAGGGAAGACAATTTCTCTTTTATTGCCTCCAAGAATCTGTGTGGCTAAAAAATAATGAGCATGAGAGTGGTGTGATTGCTGCAAGTTATTTCAAATGTTTCATCCATACTAAGTAACTGTGGAATTATGACTAAAATTAGATTATGATAGCAAATTGTTCAGGCTATATGGGTGACTGCCAGTTTCTTATTATAGTTGGGAATAAACAACACAGCCTTCCTCTACCACCCAGACACATGCAGTTAAGATAACTGGCTTCTCTTATATTGGCAACATAGAAGGAACTGCTTTTAAAATGTGGTCTCCACTGATGGTTATATGAATGCTGTCATTCTCAAACATAGAAGCAACTGCCTTTAAAACACAGTCTTCCCTGATGGTTAGTGCTGTCATTCTTGGACTCAAGGACTCTTCGGACCATCCATATTCCTACTTGTCTTTGTAGAAAGCCACTACCAGGCATGCTTAGGCAGAAGCCAAGCATGGCAGTGGGCCAGAACAATTTCAATACAAATCCAGGTTAGGTTACATATGTCTTCCTGATCAGGTTGGGCAACCCAGCAGTCTATTTGTAGAGGTGACTTTCTACTATCTGCTTGCAAGCTAGAGACATTTTTTTTTCTCCCTCTGCTCTGTAAATAATACATGGCAAATGGATCCAGAGTGCAAATCAGGTGAAGAAAGAACTTCCATAATAGCTTTAAGGGGAACTGACACTCTCCTGTTGTGGCTTTTATCCAATCTTATCATTTGGTGCAAAACTGATTTGTATGTTTTATTATATTTAAAATAGCTCTTTGGAACTAACATAGGTGTGAGTGCATGCATGCACATGCACACACACGCTTTACGCCTGTGTCAATTTTTTTCTTACAAAATCTTAGTATAATGTAGTTTCTCTTCTGTGGTTAAGTTGAATTTAATTGCTCAGTGTTTTTAGCCACATTTATTTGAATTTTGAAATGAGACTTGTCCTTTGTCTCTATACATTCTAATCTCCAAACAGTCAATTTAATAAGACTATGGCTGTTTTCTACAGATTACCACTCACAAGAAGGATGAAGGACTACATTAGCTGAGTCAGGCATGATGCTGATGGTATCGAGGAAACTGCAGGACTCAGAACCTCCCATTTAGCTTCTCTCAATGTGATCACCAAACATCCCAGCCAGACTTAAGTTTCCTTTTGAATATAAGTTCAAAAGGTCTAAGACACCTCCTTCCTGTTCAGCAATGGAAGTGATATTATTCTAAGAAAGATGAATGGGCCAGTTAAAGAAGTTCCCCAGGATGACAGGGGACAAGAAAAAGAGTTCCCTTTCATAACTATTTTCTTAGAGCTATCACATTTACGACTGACTCTACTGGCCTACCATGAGGTCAAAGGTCTTAAGAACTATGTAGAGGTGTATCTAGTTAGAGCTCCATGAAAGAAACCTCTGTGCCACCTAGTGTGACTGTCATGACTGCCACAGCCTGCAGACCTGATCATTAAAGCTTTAGTTTCTGGAAGCCATCTCACCTTTCACTTTCATGGGGTAGCTGGCTCTGGGCCTCTAGCACAGCCTTCTGCACCTTGGGTAATGCATCTGGAAGATTTCCAGAAGCCTGTGGGGAAAGTCTTCCTCCCTATTCCATGATGTTGCTTGGTAGGAGTCAATAGTCTTTCTTGCTGGGAAGTTGATCCAAACCCTTACTTACAGCAAACTTGCAGATGGGCCTCTCAGTTGCATCAGCTTCCTTTAACTTCTCTGAATTGTATCAGCTGCGCAGCTGACTGAGGAGTCACAGCAGTGGGCGTCAGGGGACCCTCATGTTGTTTCTGTCTGTAATTACCCTATTTTACCTTGCTCACATGAAGACCCAAACTGCTCCTAAGTAAATAGCATAGGTAACTGGCAGAAGGGGGGTATCTATCATCTTCCAGGGTGATTTTGGAGGATTTAGTTTGTCACACCAAGTAGAAACACACACTCACTGAACTACAAGCATAGGACTTACAGCTAACAGCTTTAATTTTGAAGGCCATTTCTGCCTCTGATTTCAAGTGGAAGGCAAGACACTTTCATCGTATTTTCTTGGATTCTCAAGTTGGTGGAATTCCAAAGAATCATTTAGTAATGCTAGGACTCTTACAATGACCTGTGTGCAAGGAGGGGGAAAGGACTTTAAATTTAGTGCAGTTCTAATCACGGATTGCATTTCTTCAATACTAATAGTATTTCCAGTAATAATAGCAGCTAAAGAGTTACCGAAGATTTCTCAAGTCAAACCTCACGACGTTGGTTGCAGGCTTCCTTTCTATTTGCAGAGGAAGAGTATCTGCAGAGGTCTGTGCTTGCCGCAAAAGCTGCTTAGCTAGCCTTTACTGACCCAAGGTCTAGGCCCCTAAAGGCATGGCTCCTGGTGTCTGGCAGCAGCTCTCTCCATCACCGGGAGGCGTGGCTACAACATCCTCATCTCCTCTGGCGCAGGGCGGCTCCTCCCAGCAACCTTCCTCCCCAATTCCTCTGCCTAGCACCCCCTCCCCCAACACCTACCCCAAGTTCAGGGAATTTCCCGAGCATCGGCAAGCTTGAGTTTCCTGCCCGGAGGAAGAGACAAATGCAGATAAAAGGCGTGCAGAGGGCTTGAGAAAGTCACAGTGCTCTGGAACCTCGAATCTCCACACTTCCTCCAGCTTCTCCTGAACCCGAGCTCCCTGGTCCAGGATTTTGTCCACGATGAGCCTCCTACCCCGCCTCTCCGCCTGCATCCCTGGCCGGTCCAGCTCGCTACTTGTGCTGCTCGCGTTTCTGTTGCTGCTGACGCCGCAGACGCTGGACGGTGAGAACTCAGCACACCCTGGGACGCACCCTGGCGGGACAGAGCGCACCATCTGCACCAGGGCTGTATCCCTGGAGCGGGAAAGGGCTCTCCCAGAACCCTCTTCCAACCTTGTCTCCTCCACAGCTGATTCAGATGTGTCAGTGGTCAGAGAGCTGCGTTGCATTTGCATGACCATAACTCCAAAAGTTTCTCCCACAATGATCACTAATCTGGAGGTGATAGCCAGAGGGCAACAGTGTCCCAATGTGCAAGTGATGTGAGTTCTCCTGAAATTGCGGGTGCATGTTGACCTTGGCAAGAGGGGAGTCCTCCATCCCGGGTGTTCAGTCACTGTGGCTCATGCCTGTATCCTCTTTTTTTTCTCTCTGTAGAGCTTCACTGAAGAATGGAAAGGAGGTCTGTCTTGATCCAGACGCCCCTTTGATCAAGAAAATCATAAAGAAAATGTTGGACAGGTACTTGTCACTTTGTTCTTTAAGATGCACGGTCCTTACTTTCCGTACATGATATGGGATTTGGGCACCACATTCCAAACCGTGCTTAGAATAAGACGGGAAAGTTGTTCTGCAGTGTTCTGGGGGAAAATCTTTATTACAGACTCTGTGTGTATGTGTGTGTGTGTGTGTGTGTGTGTGTGTGTGTGTGTGTGTGTATTTTGGGTTGGAGTGCTCAACTTTGGTTGCTGATATAATTCTTTTCTCAACAGTAGAAATAAGAAAACTAATTAAGAGAAATGAACATGCATTGGGAAAATCACCCAATATTCAACAGAGCAATTTTCTGAGGATGACTCCCGCCCCTGAAGACAAGAAAGGCTGATTTGTTTACCTCAGTAATTTTCTTTGGAGAGCCCCTACTTTGAAGAGGATGGGGGAAACCTTTCTCCCTAAAGCTTTTTTGCTCAGCTTGGAACTATTTAGAATAACATTTCTATCCTTTTCTATTATCTGTTACACTATTGGAAAAATTAGTATTTAACTAGATTGTGAGTCAAGAACCATTGGTAGTTAACCATCCAAAATGTCTTGAACTGAAGGTAACTACTGCACTGTAACTAGGGAATACACACACACACACACACACACACACACACACACACCCCTTATAGTGCTCATCCAAAGGCTGTGGATTTAACAGATCAATGGTGTTCTTAGAATACTGTTGAGGGAGGAATACAATTATTCTCCCTCTTCTAATGAAATAGGAAATATTTTACTGTGTTTTTAAAGATAATGTGTTAGGGAACTCCCTTACTCCTGTCTCTGGTGTGGCATGTACATTATATTATATTAGAAAACTGGTATATCATTACAGAAACCTGTGTAGAATATATATTCCTTGTTTAGAATTTCTAAATGTGTAAGTTCTAGAAGGACTAAATGTATTCTTTTTCTATAATTTTAGACATTTGATGTCTTCTTAAGGTATGGCATAATGTCATGACTTACTCATCAAACTTTAATTATATGCTATTTATTAACTATTTTATTAGTTGTATTCTTCAAGTACATGTTTTAGATAGATGAAGAAAAGAAACAGGTAAATTCCTGACTTGTAGTTTTCATAAAAAACACTTTAATTTTTTTCTAAAATAAGAGAAATCTTAAAGATCTATACTCTTAATGTTTTGAAAACATTTAGTATGTCTGAAAATGAATACAGCATTACTGAGATGTTTAGATGTCTCAGTGTCTTTAAGAATTTGACCATTTTGTTATAAGGAAACGCATTTGTGCATTGCATCCATTATTTTTAAAGTGTACTTTTCTAATGTGTCTCATCTGTTTATGTTACTTATTTTTGAGAAAAAATAAAATATTTCTAAACCTCACTCATACTGTTTCTGCACATACTGTTTCAGTGACAGTGAATTTTTATTATCTTAATTCGACATTGTTCACAAAGTTAACTCTGTAAGCTCTTTGGCTTGAGGAAATGCCTGGTTTTCTAATCTCTTGCATCATTTTAACCTTTCTGTAAGTTTACTCCCTTTCCAGCTACTCCTTCAGGATCTCAGTAGCCCCTAGGTTCCTTAGAAAACACATATATGCTGAGACTTCCCCACCTTAAATACTTGTCCAGTTCTCTGTGATAGTTTGGCTTTCAAATAACCTCCAGAAGCCCATGTGTTAATAGCTAAGTCCTAGCTTGGTGCTGTTGAGAGGTTCTGGACCCCCCTAGGAGGTAGAGCCTAGTGGTAAGATTTAGGTCATCAGGGACATGCCTTCCAGGGGATTTAGGGCACCAGCCTATCATCTTCCTCATTCCCCCACATCTACCCATAAGGTGAAAAGGCTTTGCCCACCACGCATTCCTGTGAGATATGTTGTGTTGCCACAGACCCGAAACAACAGGACCAATTGGTCATGAACTGAAACCTCAAACCTTTAAAACTGTGAGTCAAAATAAACTTTCCCTGTTTTAAAGTTGACCATAGAAGATAATTGTTACAGCGACACAAAGCTGATTAACACACTCCCTATTTCCTAAACATGAAATGAAAGTTGCTGAGGCATAGCTAGTGAAGCTCTGTCTCGTCTCACTGCTGTTTTCTTCTTGAGTGCCATGTTTCCCTCATACTCTGTGCAGTAGGCATTTGGTTCTCTAGCCAGGTTTGCTCTGGTCTGTGCCTTTACATTTGGTACAGTTCTACCTGAAAGGAACTGGCCCATTTGTTGTCTACAGGAGGAGAATTATTCATCCTTCAGAATTTGGCTCAAGTTATATCTCCTTAATGAAGTTTTCCTTGCCGTTCCCCAGCCCAGCTTGTGGTTTCCATTTCGATGCTTACATAGGATCTTCTGGATGCTAAATAACTGAGTTACAATAAATATTGCTTTACTATTAGGATGAGTTTCTTCATCCTAATCTGCAAAGAATTCTCCTGAAACATCAACCATATCCCTGTATCCCCAATGTGTGGCACAGACTGACTGAGTGAATAAGTTGTCCTAACTCAGGCTATCAGCTAGTTTCCTCAATTCAACAACCTGGATTATGGTAGGTGTTGGTTAACCTGTCTTATTTCTTCTCCCTTGTCTACAGATAAGCCTCCAGCCATTAACACCTCCCCTATCTTCCATCTGGCAGACTTCCATCCTTGCTCTCTCTGACCCCTCCCCTACTGGATTAGGACTCCTTTTCATTCTTTCATAGCACTTTGCAGTTTTCTTTAGCAACATTTTCTTCCCAAGGATATAGAGCTTATATTACCAACATATAAGTGTTTAGTGCCTATCTATTACAACTTCACTGTAATCTCCGTGGGAGCAGGGACAGTCTCTGTCATGTTTAACTCAGTTCCTAGGACAGTGCTTAGGGCATGATAGGTATTTAAATAGAGAAGCGAGCAAGGCTAAAAAAGCCTCACTGTCTCTGTAGTATTAAGACAGTAATTCACAAAAAGATCCCATTTTTAGGAAAAGCAAGAAATGGCTACTAATCTTATATACAAATACATATGCACTGCAATTAGATGAAGCCACTTATATGTTTATAATCACATAAGTTTGTATGTATTAGTGTATACTAATATATTATCAGTTATATATATGTTTAACCTAGCTTTTTATCATTTGGTCTCTCTCATTACATATAAAATACAAATTCAATTAATATGGTTTCTATTGTTATATACTGACGTATCTATATAAAAGAAAAAGAAGCAAGTAGATTAAAAGATACAGTGAAGTCTAGAGTGATTTGAAGGTTACAGTTTTGTTGACAAATATTTCAGCAACATACAAATGTACAAAATATGTCTAAATTTAAATAAATCGTTGAACTTGTGTGGCACTTTAAAAAACTCAATACCTCATAAGTAATTGGAAACACTAAGAAATAAACCAGACTTCTATGAATTTTTGAACTCAAAATTCCAGTGTCTTGAACAAGCTCTGATTTGAACAATCTCTTCTTGAATAAATGCCTAACAGTATTAAGTGAAAACATGTTGAATGCCCTTTGGATGCTGCAATATAAGTATTGTTTGCTGTTTGCTTTGTCACCATGTAAGATTTTTGTGTTTTTTTTTTTCCCCAGAAGCAAAACTTACGTTTAGTTTGTTTCTAGACCATTGGCTTACCCTCCTTTGTAACATCCGTGCAATTCTAGGTGTCATGCCCATTCTACAACTGGTCATTCTATATCATTCTATAAAGGGTGGATTGCAGTGTACTATCAAGGTACAGCCTGTACAAAGAGCTTCAGTGGTAGCTGCTGATCATCGTATCCACCATTCCCAGCTGAGCTTGCCACTGGAAAATGCAAGGCTGAACATACCTGGGGAAAATGAATCTAATGCCCGTCTTCTAGGGAGATGTCTCAGTGTTTTCTCATACTAACCTCTAAATATCATTTTCACTCTTATCCACCTGAAACTCACTCACACACTTGAGATCACCTGGATTTAAATATGTGGTTGACTGAAATTCACTCTTTGGTTTAGGCCATTATTGGTTTGTAATATTCTTCATTCATTCATCCAGACTTTACTTCTTGTGTCTGGATATGACACATTCATGTAATCCTTCAATTCCTGAAGGTATGACAATATCTATGGTAAAATAAGACTAGTGGCTTTGTATTTCTATTAGTTTTTAATGCTCGCATAAGGAAAAGAATTTTTGTGGGTAATTATCACACACCTAACACAGAAGTTCTTCCTGGATGAGAAATTGACCACATAGAAGGGGCACCTGAGGATTTGTAGTTGCCTCTATGACTAAACCAAGGAAACGCATATATGCATCTGATTTTGCCTGACAGTCCTGGCTCACTCTTAGTCACCAGAATGAGTATTATGTTCCTGAGAAGGACTGTTTATGCTTCAAGTATGCAGATAGAGATAGTGCCATGGGAAAACCTACAGGTCTAAAATTTTGTTTCTATCAATTCTAGAATCTTGTTTTACAAATTTAGACAACTTACAAAGACACTCCATCCTCATCCCTATGGTGAAAAATCATCTTAATGTATGATTCCCCTTATCAAATGATGCTAGTTTCTGATCTACTTCTCAGCTTGGACCAAAAGAAACCATTGATTGATTTCTATGAAGAGACAGGCTGCTTCCAAGCTGGGGTACACCACAAAATCAGAGCTGTTGCCTTTCAAATCTAGCTCTGAGCATTTCTAGGTATGTAACCTTGACAATTTATTCAACACTTCTGTTCTTAAGCTTTCTCATCTCTGTACTACTATATTAACACCCACACATAAAATTAAAAAGTAAGTAAATAAAATCACTAAAAAAGTAAAAAAAAGAGTGTTTAGTTTCTTAAGTTCTTTTTATAGAAAACATTGTTTTCCCATGAGTTGATCATTTCCTTTTAACTTAAAAATTTTTTTAATTTATTATTTTTTCTTTTTTTATTTATTTAATAACCACACAATCAGAAGAAGCATTTCACTACACAGCACTGACACATTCAATAACAATTTCCAGAGCTAGGATGCATCTCTTTCAAAATTGGCTGTAAATTCTTAGGTTTACAGTTGAATTATTACAGTTATACAATATTGTACTCAGTATAAACCCCATAAGACATAAAATTAAATGAGGTTTTAAAATTTAAAAAAGATCTCCATTTCACTATTAAAATATAAAGTTTCATACAGAAAAATTCATTTTCAATACAATTGACACTAAGATCCACATGCATTTCTAACCTCTATATATCTGATTAATACTAGTCACAGTCGGTTACTTTCTGAGGTCCTTGGCATCTGAGCATGGATATAAAGTCATCAGGTAGATTTCAGTGGTAATGTTTTTCACATCTACCAATTATTAAGGAGCAAATTTTTATGCTTTGAAGAATTATCATTATTACTTTTTAAAATTTTTTAAAAATTTATTTATTTTTAAACCCACTTCCCAGATAGCACCCTCCCATACCCTCGCTCCCCCCACTAGATCCCTTATACTCTGATATCCCTGCTACTGTCTGCTGTGTTGTCAGCACCCCAGCCATTCCCCACTACTTGCCCTTCTGGTGAATCTACTCAGCCTATCTAGAGGTCTTTGTTTTAGGAGGGTCAGCTGTTCCTCATCTAGCAGCAATCAGTTGTCAATATTTCTTTAGATAAGATTAGGGTCTGCTGTTCATTTTCTGAGTTCTTTGCTGGATTACTATCTGGGAATCCCTTTGGCCATCCTGGCCAACAACTCAAAAGAAGGTATCACCTGTCTGGTATTGTTGCTTGTTATGTAGCCTTTAGCTATACATATGGACTCTTATGAAATTATATTGGCCCCTTTAATCTTTGTTTACACTTTCCTTTTGGGTGTTTAAGGCCATAAAGTTGGCCCAGATAAAACCGATTTATTTTTACTCTCAAGGTTGTTTGAGGATATGTTCCTCAGAGGTCACATGGGCTTTGGAGGAGCCCCTGGCTCCTTTCTTTTACCAGTTCCGCCTATGGGAAGATAAGTCAAAGGTCCTGCTCAACCATGGTTGGCTTCACTTGGAAGCATGGAGGAAATGATTCCTATGTGTTGACCCTCCTCTTTATAGAGTGGACACTGGTTCAAGTCCATCTGGTAAGGTCGCCTTG